TTTTTTTTCTTTTTTTTTAGATTCCATATACATGTGTTAGCATACAGTATTTGTTTTTCTGACTAACTTCACTTTGTATGACAGACTCTAGGCCCATCCACCTCACTACAAATAACTCAATTTCATTTCTTTTTATGGTTGAGTAATATTCCATTGTATATATGTGCCACATCTTCCTTATCCATTCATCTGTCAATGGACATTTAGGTTGTTTCCATCTCCGGGCTATTGTAAATAGAGCTGCCGTGAACATTTTGGTACATGACTCTTTTTGAATTATGGTTTTCTCAGGGTATATGCCCAGTAGTGGGATTGCTGGGTCATATGGTAGTTCTACTTTTAGTTTTTTAAGGAACCTCCATACTGTTCTCCATAGTGGCTGTATCAATCGACATTCCCACCAACAGTGCAAGAGGGTTGCCTTTTCTCCACACCCTCTCCAGCATTTATTGTTTGTAGATTTTTTTGATGATGGCCATTCTGACTGGTGTGTGGTGATACCTCATTGCAGTTTTGATTTGCATTTCTCTAATGATTAGCATCACTTTCCATTTAATTCATCATAAAATTACTGAGCACCTACTATGTGCAAGGCTCTAAGCCAGCTCCAAGGACCCAAAAATAAAACTGAGTCATTCACAGTCAGTGATGTTCACAACACTACTCAAATTCTTTTGGAACTGCTTTTTGGGCCAGGCAGTGAGCAATACATTATAACCAGTTTCACTTTACAAACAGCAATTTCCTTCAAAAAATTTTTTCCAGTTGATTAACATCTTTTTAAAAAAAATTAAACTGGCTATAAACATCTTTTTGACTACCAAAAAAACATGCCCTCCTCTAAAGCACAGATGCCTGCCTCCACCAAAGAAGTTTAAGACAAAATCAAAACTATGTGACAGGTGCTGAAAGCAATTATAAAGGAGTTCCCTAAACATGTTAAGTAATGGCTCCATCAGAGGAATCAAGTGGATAACTCACCAAGGTGATGACTTTGAAAGGGACATTTATTTGAATAGTGGTTTATTAAAAAGTCACACTATTTAATATACAATTCTCTTGCTGTTGTGTGAATTCTTTCATAAGCAGAAAAACCAGTTACAATACAACTTTTAAGGATTACTTCATTCTCGACCTTTTGCTACTGCTCAGAGAAGCATCCATCCAGTATGGTGTTAACTAAGCCCAAAGAAGATGTCTAATGCATACCTGTTGATTAATTAATGTGTATAAAATGTAATACAGCTATTTCTCCTTCACAGTTATTCCATCACAGATTTCCACAGGGGTGTGGGGAAGACTGAGACTCTGTGTGGGATTGTGAGGCTGCCACATTCCTCCCTCCCTCCTCCCCTACACTGACCTGGAGCTGTATTTCTTGAGGATGGTGTCTAAAAGGCCAACGAGCTCTTCGGCATTGATGAACTTCTGTGCGCTGAGGGTGTACATCTTCTCATAGAAGTCTGCGATCTCCATCCGAGCCTGAACAAAGAAGCAGAGCTGCTCTGACAGGTGGGAAAGGAGCTCTTCCACATGAGGTGCAGTCCCCCCTAGGGCACCACGGCCAGTCACCACCTTCTTTAGCTCATTATGCAGGGAAGTATAGATGGTGCGGATGGAGTCCTTCCTGCTGAAGAAACACTGGCCCCCTGGTAGAAAAATGACATAAGCACATGACAGGTAAGGTAGAGAAACTGGAAGTACAAAACACCTCTCAGCATCCAAAAGGAAAGAATCTAAACTGCTGAGCTCAAAGAGTTTTCATCTACCATGTTCTCTGACTTCTATGATTTGGATTTAAATATTGTGTGATTCATAATTTCACTGTAGAGTAAATTAACGCTGGTACAACTCAGTGTAGTGGTGGACCTGTGTATAATTTCCTTACCAAGGAGATTGGTTCAAGATGGTGGACAGAAGGATATGCTCTCACTCCCTCTTGTGAGAGCACCGGAATCACAATTAACTGCTGAACAATCATCGACAGGAAGACACTGGAACTCACCAAAAAAGATACCCCACATCCAAAGACAAAGGAGAAGCCACAGTGAGATGGTAGGAGGGGCGCAATCACAATAAAATCAAACCCCATAACTGCTGGGTAGGTGACTCACAAACTGGAGAACACATACCACAGAAGTCCACCCAATGGAGTAAAGGTTCTGAGCCCCACGTCAGGCTTCTCAACCTGGGAGTCTGGCAACGGAAGGAGGAATTCCTAGAGAATCAGACTTTGAAAGCTGGTGGGATTTGACTGCAGGACTTCGACAGGACTGGGGAAACAGAGACTCCACTCTTGGAGGGCACACACAAAGTAGTGTGTGCATCAGGACCCAGGGGAAGCAGCAGTGACCCCAGAGAAGACAGAACCAGACCTACCTGCTAGTGATGGAGGGTCTCCTGCAGAGGTGGGGGTGGCTGTGTCTCATCGTGAGGACAAGGACACTGGCAGCAGAAGTTCTGGGAAGTACTCCTTGGGGTGAGCACTCCCAGAGTCCGCCATTAGCCCCAACCAAGAGCCCAGGTAGGCTCCAGTGTTGGGTCACCTCAGGCCAAACAACAAACAGGGAGGGAACCCAGCCCCACCCATCAGCAGACAAGCAGATTAAAGTTTTACTGAGTTCTACCCACCAGAGCAACAGCCAGCTCTACCCACCACCAGTCCCTCCCATCAGGAAATGTGCACAAGCCTCTCAGATAGCCTCATCCACCAGAGGGCAGACAGCAGAAGAACTACTACAAGAACTACAATCCTGCAGCCTGTGGAACAAAAACCACATTCACAGAAAGATAGACAAGATGAAAAAGCAGAGGGCTATGTACCAGATGAAGGAACAAGATAAAACCCCAGAAAAACAACTAAATGAAGTAGAGATAGGCAACCTTCCAGAAAAAAGAATTCAGAATAATGATAGTGAAGATGATCCAGGATGTTGGAAAAGAATGGAGGCAAAGATCGAGAAGATGAAAGAAATGTTTAACAAAGACCTAGAAGAATTAAAGAACAAACAGAGATGAACAATACAATAACTGAAATGAAAAATACACTAGAAGGAATCAATAGCAGAATAACTGAGGCAGAAGAACAGATAAGTGACCTGGAAGACAGAATGGTGGAATTCACTGCTACGGAACAGACTAAAGACAAAAGAATGAAAAGAAATGAAGACAGCCCAAGAGACATCTGGGACAACATTAAGTGTAAAAACATTTGCATTATATGGGTCCCAGAAGGAGGAGAGAGAAAGAAAGGACCCAAGAAAATGTTTGAAGAGATTATAGTCGAAAACTTCCCTAACATGGGAAAGGAAATAGCCACCGAAGTCCGGGAAGCGCAGAGAGTCCCATACAGGATAAACCCAAGGAGAAACAAACCGAGATGCAGAGTAATCAAATTGGCAAAAATTAAAGACAAAGAAAAATTACTGAAAGCAGCAAGGGGAAAATAACATACAAGGGAACTCCCATAAGGTTAACAGCTGATTTCTCAGAAGAAACTCTACAAGCCAGAAGGGAGTGGCATGACATATTTAAAGTGATGAAAGGGGAGAACCTACAACCAAGATTACTCTACTCGGCAAGGATCTCATTCAGATTCGATGGAGAAATCAAAAGCTTTACAGACAAGCAAAAGCTAAGAGAATTCAGCACCACCAAACCAGCTCTACAACAAATGCTAAAAGAACTTCTCTAAGTAGGAAACACAAGAGAAGAAAAGAAGCTACAAAAACAAACCCAAAACAATTAAGATAATGGTCATAGGAACATACATATCGATAATTACCTTAAACATGAATGGATTAACCATTTGGTTGGAGCCTGTCCAACCAACAGACACAGGCTTGCTGAATGGATACAAAAACAAGACCCATATATATGCTGTCTACAAGAGACCCACTTCAGACGTAGGGACACATACAGACTGAAACTGAGGGGATGGAAAAAGATATTCCATGCAAATTGAAATCAAAGAAAGCTGGAGTAGCAATACTCATATCGGATAAAATAGACTTTAAAATAAAGAATGTTACAAGAGACAAGGAAGGATGCTACATAATGATCAAGGGATCAATGCAAGAAGAAGATATAACAATTATAAATATATATGCATCCAATATAGGAGCACCTCAATACATAAGGCAACTGCTAACAGCTATAAGAGGAAATGGACAGTAACACAATAATAGTGGGGGACTTTAACACCTCACTTACACCAACAGACAGATCATCCAAACAGAAAATTAATAAGGAAACACAAGCTGTAAATGACACAATAGACCAAATAGACTTAATTGATATTTAAAGGACATGCCATCCAAATATAGCAGACTACACTTTCTTCTCAAGTGTGCACGGAACATGCTCCAGGATAGATCACATCTTGGGTCACAAATCAAGCCTCAATAAATTTAAGAAAATTGAAATCATATCAAGCATCTTTTCTGACCACAACGCTATGAGATCAGAAATCAATTACAGGAAAAAAAACGTAAAAAACACAAACACATGGAAGCTAAACAATATGTTACTGAATAACAAAGAGATCACTAAAGAAATCAAAGATGAAATGAAAAAATACCTAGAGACAAATGACAATGAAAACATGACAATCCAAAACCTATGGGATGCAGCAAAAGCAGTTCTAAGAGGGAAGTTTTTTTTTTTTTTTTTCCTTGCGTTATAAGAGGGAAGTTTATAGCAATACAATCCTACCTCAAGAAACAACAAACATCTGAAATAAACAATCTAACCTTATACCTAAAGGAACTAGAGAAAGAAGAACAAACAAAACCCAAAGTTAGTAGAAGGAAAGAAATCATCAAGATCAGAGCAGAAATAAATGAAATAGAAACAAAGAAAACAACAGCAAAGATTAATAAAACTAAAAGCTGGTTCTTTAAGAAGATAAATAAAATTGATAAACCATTAGCCAGACTCATCAAGAAAAACAGGGAGAGGACTCAAATCAATAAAATTAGAAATGAAAACGGAGAAGTTACAACAGACACTGCAGAAATACAAAGCATCCTAAGAGACTACTACAAGCAGCTCTATGCCAATAAAATGGACAACCTGGAAGAAATGGACACATTCTTAGAATGGTATAACCTTCCAAGACTGAACCAGGAAGAAATAGAAAATATGAACAGACCAATCACAAGTAATGAAATTGAAACTGTGATTAAAAATGAAATTGAAACTCTGATTAAAATTCTTCCAACAAACAAAAGTCCAGGACCTGATGGCTTCACAGGTGAATTCTATCAAACATTGAGAGAAGAGCTAACACCCATCCTTCTCAAACTCTTCCAAAACATTGCAGAGGAAGGAACACTCCCAAACTCATTCTATGAGGCCACTATCACCCTGATACCAAAACTAGACAAAGAAAGAAAATTACAGACCAATATCACTGATGAATATAGATGTAAAAATCCTCAACAAAATACTAGCAAACAGAATCCAACAACACATTAAAAGGATCATACACCATGATCAAGTGGGATTTATCCCAAGGATGCAAGCATTCTTCAATATATGCAAATCAACCAATGTGATACACCATATTAACAAAGTGAAGAATAAAAACCATATGATCATCTCAATAGAAAAAGCTTTGGACAAAATTCAACACCGATTTATGATAAAAGCTCTCCAGAAAGTGTGCATAGAGGGAACCTACCTCAACATAATAAAGGCCATATACAACAAACTCACAGTAAACATGGTCCTCAATGGTGAAAAACTGAAAGCATTTCCTCTAAGATCAGGAAGAAGACAAGGATGTCCACTCTCACCACTATTATTCAACATAGTTTTGGAAGTTTTAGCCACAGCAATCAGAGAAGAAAAAGAAATAAAAGGAATGCAAATCGGAAAAGAAGAAGTAAAACTGTCACTGTTTGCAGATGACATGATACTGTACATAGAGAATTCTAAAGATGCCACCAGAAAGCTACTCGAGCTAATCAATGAATTTGGTAAAGTTGCAGGATACAAAATTAATGCACAGAAATCTCTTGCATTCTTATACACTAATGATGAAAAATCTGAAAGAGAAATTAAGGAAACACTCCCATTTATCACTGCAACAAAAAGAATAAAATACCTAGGAATAAACCTACCTAGGGAGACAAAAGACCTGTATGCAGAAAACTATAAGACACTGATGAAAGAAATTAAGGATTATACAAACAGATGGAGAGATATACCATGTTCTTGGATTGGAAGAATCAATACTGTGAAAATGACTATACTACCCAAAGCAATCTACAGATCAATGCAATCCTTGTCAAATTACCAATGGCATTTTTTACAGCACTACAAGAAAAATTCTTAAAATTTGTATGGAGACACAAAAGACCCCAGACAGCCAAAGCGGTCTTGAGGGAAAAAAAAACGGAGCTGGAGGAATCAGACTCCCTAACTTCAGACTATACTACAAAGCTACAGTAATCAAGCCAATATGGTACTGGCACAAAAACAGAAATATAGATCAATGGAACAGGATAGAAAGCACAGAGACAAATCTATGCACCTATGGTCAACTAATCTATGACAAAGGAGGCAAGGATAGACAATGGAGAAATGACAGTCTCTTCTCTCTTCAGTAAGTGGTGCTGGGAAAACTGGACATCTACATGTAAAA